TAGAGCCCCAATTCCTCTCGTCCTTTGCCTTTAGGAACTAGCTCAATACTGAGGAGTTCTTAATTGGCTCTTCCCATATGAGAGAGAGATTAGGGAAGACACTGATTTTCGAGGAGGACTGTTACCGTGACGGATGCTAGGCGGAATAAAAAACAGGGGCCTCCACTGGTTGTCTGGAGGAAATAAAAGGGATGTCTAGCAGTCCCTCACGCTTGGCGCCAATGAGTTTTTCTTTATATTATTTATATTTGGTAGAAAAAGAAGACTATGCCTTCGCCATATGAAATATGAAACAAATAAATAAAAAAAATGAATCAGTCGTAGTCTTGTAGTTGGCATTCCCCAGAATGCCTATATAGTGGCCGGCCTTTCGAATGCCTCCTTCCTAGGCTGGGAAGCGACTACTCGTCGCTTCTGTGCTCGCTTCTAGGAGTATGAGGCACTATGGTAGGAAGGCCGACCGCTACATAAGCCGCCATCAGTCCAGTAGAGAAGCAAGCTGTGAATTACGACAGGCCTTAGACAGTCACAATGAACAAGAGCAACAACATAGTAAACGGAACGGCAACAATTGAGGACCCCGACATCCACGATTACAGCAGATTACACAGCTTACTAGAAGGAAAAGGGCTGCAACCACAAATCTCCAGCAGCACAGAGCCTCCTCGTCTCTCTACAGCAGCCGATCAGTCTAAACAGATATCTAATCCTTCTCTCTTGATTTGTCGTTCATGTCGTACCAAGTTTCTAATAGAGCGTTTTGTCTCTTATGAGTCTTTTTCCAAAAATCATCGTGTCACTTCCCTTTTGTCTATCACAGAACCGCAGAAGCATAAACTAAAAAGTGTTGGCAGGAGGCAATGCAGGAATCAATTGAAGCATTATAGAAAAACAATGACCTGGGAGTTCAACTAAAGTGCCTCAGTTAGCATAGGGTAGATAGGAGTGGGTATGAAGCACTATCGTAATAGCTGGAAGCGGGAATGGAAAGACTTTCTATAACACCAGAATGTCAAAAGTTTCTCATCAGAAAACAGTTTCATTTTCTCCCCATGTCTTGATCAGAGAATTGATTGGAGAGCTCCACTGTAGTATATTTATGTATCTATAACAAAGTTAACCATTTTCCCAAAAAAAAAAAGAACATAGAATATTCAATGGAAAGGAATGCACCCCCAATACCTTAAAGGTTTGTATCAAATTACTGGTTATTTTTTGGAAAAAGAACCGTAAACTGTCCAAACATCAAGCCACCACAGATTTCCTCCAAAACTGGCAAGCTTTGTTAAACTTAAAGCCCTCACAGATTCTTCACTCGTCACTTTGGCGACCAATGGAACAAGGTCATATTGAATACAATCTTTGTGGTTGCTCCCTCTATAATCGCTGCCCGGTAGGTATAGGTGGAATTTTTAAGACAAAGACAGATACCTTATTTTAATTCTTGAAATCTGTTAATCATGTTGACTCCACCACAGCTGAGGCCATCGCCCTCCTCGAGGGCATCAAAAGTTTTAATCCTGATTGGAGCCCCTTTTTGGTCATAGAGGGGGATTCCAAGAGTGTCATCTCTTAGGCTTAAAAAACTTCACTGTGCCCATGGAGTAAATTACATTTTTGACGATATTTTTGACTTATGCAGGTTTATGCACATCTTCTTTCAGCATACGTGGCGCAAGGTGAGCTTTGAATCTGATTTCTTGACCAAAAATGGAGAAATCTTAGGAAATTGTGGCCAGGACTTTTTTGACACCCTTTTGAGCCTCATATTGTTATAATGTTTTCATCACAGATTTTTGGAGTATAGAAAATACAGTACCCAGCTTGTGGGATACCATATGGTGCAGACCTAGTAGCTTGGAGCTAGGTTTAGCAAAAAAAAAGATTGGGAAGATCCAAAATTAGAGAAAGATGCAAAAGCCAGTTATAGAAGAAGGCGCATTAACTGCTCTTAGGTTTTGACTAACATCTATAACAAATGCTTCATTATGCTTGAGTGAATAAAGCTCCTCTTATATAGGAAAGCCCTAAACATGACTTATTCCTCGCCATCCATCTAATATAATCATGGTTATTTATTATAAAAGATTTTTAAGTGAATAAAAGACATAAAGGACTCTAAAAATTACTAATTATGCCCCTAAGTAAATAAAATGACTCAAGAAATAAAAGACATAAAAGGATAGATTCAATGACCATTTTGCCCTTCTACGGTTCCCTTGTAAACTGTAAGTTTGTCTCTCTTACCTAGATACTTGAGAGCAGTATTCTGGACTACATCAGTCCCCCCTCAAAAGAATTTGCCCTCGAATATGATGGCTTGTCCTTGGAGGTTTCACCATGATATGTATGGAATGAGATGCTTGACAATAAAAACATCGGAAGTGCGAATATGGCTGGGAAGCTTCAATTTGCAGGTATTATCATTAATCTTCTGCACCACTTCACACGGTCCAATCTTGTGTTTGCTCAACTTATGATATTCATAACAACTTGGTCTAGAACCATGAACAAGCATAGGAAGGAAGAGTCTTGAATCACTTCTAATTATACGTCCTCGGAGATACCCATTCAAAATAACTTTGTAGGAAATCTCACCTTTATGACTTGTAAGATTCAGCATTGAATCCACCAAAAGAAGATTGCCATTCTTGCAATGAATTGATGAGAGTGCAATGCTGGTGCAAAGATTCTAGCCAAACCCACATTTCACAGCTTTAGCATAGGCTTTTTTAACTTCTTCCATACTCTCCAATCGTCCACTACACCATTTTGATTTAACAACACCAGCAAGGGTATTGAGAAGACCAAAACCCAAAACTTTTCATCTCTTGAAAATATTCTAACTCAACCTTAAAGATGTACAATTCAAAATAACTAGAGATCAACATTGTCCAAGTTGTGGCGCAACTCATATGCATCTTATTCATCATGTTTTATGCAAATTGAAAACTAACACTGCTGCTATATAAGTGTGCAACACTATGAATCATAAACATACCTGAGGAAAACTCTTCTCTTAGGATGTAAGAAAAACTTTGAACTTTGAACTTTGAGGCTTGTTCTTGCTGATTTTTGTGAGGTCGAGATGCAAATGTTAGGTTCCTTAGGTTTAGGTTTCGGGGGAAGATGCTAAGGACTAGATTTGGTTCTTCCATCAAAGCAACCAACCAGAGTTTCTCTCATAGAGAATGACTTTAGCAACCCTTTGGAGAGAATCTCCTATGTCAAACTCACTAGTTGAGAATTCAAGAGAAAATAGCTTTAACTCTTTGGTGTGAGCCTTATGTGATAACCTAGGTAAAACTCGAAGAAGAACAACATCATCATCATTACCTCCGTCAAAATCCTTCTCCTCACTACTTTCTCTGGAGACCAAGAAACTAGTTTCCTCCAATATTTGGAAACAACTCCTTGACATTCTCCATGTTCTTCATCAAGAATAGGAGCGTCCACAAAATTCTCTCCAATGGTAGGATCTTCTTGTTGGTCCTCTTTGAGGATTGGATGACAAGGCTATGATCACCCACTTGTTTCTCAACAGCGAAATCTTCATCCAGGTACTCGTCAAAGACCGGCGCTGAGTCATAGTCCATAATGTACCGATCTTGAGAACCATTTGGTGAGAACAAAGTTTCTCCATGGTTGTCCTTGATAGAGTTTCCATAACACCTGTTCAAATCATCATTGATTTCGTGCCTAGATTTATGACACTGTGCACCGAAACCCTTGACTATGATCACACCATGAATCTAACTCATCTGACACCAACTTGGTCACTAACTCATTTGCCTTGATCTCATCCTCCTGAGATGGGGCATCCATTTGGGCCAAATGTGGAGCTGCAATTTCGACTAATCTCCTTAAAATCTGCAATCCCGTCTCACAAACTAGCATCAAAGGCATCTACAATTGTTGCTTTTCCTCAGTTTTTCTCTATGTGGAGGCATGGTTGTTGATCTAGGGCATAAAAGTGGATGCCTTATTACCGTTCGTACAGTGATACAGTACCATGCTACAGTATGTGCTACAATGTTGTACTGTGCTATACTACTGTTCGTACAGTACTAGAGTACCGTAGAGATCGTGGGGCTCTTATACCAACCTGGCACTGACTTAGTAACTTGGAGCTAGGTTTAGTGAACAAGATGACAGGGAAGATCCAAAATTAGAGAAAGGCGCAAAAACCAAAGATAAAAGAAAGAGCACTAGCTGCTTCATTATGCTTGAGTGCACCTCTTATATAAGAAAGTCCTAATCAGGACTTAATCTTGGTCATCTATCTTATCTAATCATAACCATTTATTATAAAAGACTTTAAAGTGAATAAAAGACATAAAAGACTCTAAAAATTACTTCTTATGCCCCTAAGTAAATAAAATGACTCAAGAAATAAGAAAAAGACATAAAAGGATATATTCAATGACTATTTTGCCCTTCTGCGGTTCCTCTTGTAAACTTTAAGCTTGTCTCTCTTACCTAGATACTCAAGAGCAGTATTCTAGGCTACATAACTATCCTTTATTTGTATCATGACTCCATGCTCAATATAGCCATTAGCAGTCGTTAAAGTACCACACCCTTTAATACTCATTCTATGCTTTTATTACAAGTATTTTATGTAATGAATGTGTAGGAATTGCAGCATCTGGGCTCTTATTCTTTACTGATTATTTGTTATTGTAGTTATGGTTCCTTGATTTGCTTTATTTGGAGAAGGTTGAGAGTGAACCCAGTTTATGCTTCTGTCTCTTTGTTTTCTCAGTGAAAAATACACCACAACAATTATGACTGTATGCACTTAAAAATATTGGGGATGCTAAGTTCATGAAGCTGAATGAAGTCATTCTATTGTTTCTTGGCGACTCTCACATTTCATATGCTCACTAAAATAGAATATTACTTATGAATGGGAAAAGAACATCTTGTTGAATTTTGAGTAACTTTATCTATCATTGATCAAAGTTGATCTATCCTTTTCTGAATTTGTTCTTTTATAGGGCACCTGACCTCTAAAAGTGATGTGTATAGCTTCGGTGTTGTGTTACTAGAGATTCTAACAGGTCGACGATCCATAGATAAGAATCGTCCTGGTGGGGAGCAAAATTTGGTAGCTTGGGCGCGCCCCCGTTTGGCAGACAAGAGGAAGCTTCGCCAACTAGTAGACCCTCGTTTGGAACTGAATTACTCAATCAAAGGAGTGCAAAAGGTTGCACAGTTAGCATACTATTGCCTAAGCAGGGATCCCAAATCTCGGCCTTCAATGGATGATGTGGTGAAGGGCTTAACGCCATTGATGCATCTTGATGATCTAGCCCGCTTGTCATTCCACAGTCAACCATCACACCAGGCTCGTAACAGACTACAAAACGTCAGGATTCAGAAATGCGAGGGTTATCATGGGGTAGCAGGTAAGAAGGATGGTAGATGAAATGGTCACTGGAATTCCAAAATTGTTTTCTCTGGCCGTTTTGGCTTGATTGGTTGGGTTTTCTTCAATACTTGGGTTCGTGGAGAAACTTTGGAAGTGAAAGAGAGTTTCTTAAAAGTTTCATGTTCTCTTGTGAATCTCTTCATGCTTTGAATTCAGGGGGGAAGGTTTAGCAATGGCAATAAGGATTGCTTGCCTTATGGCTTTTTCTTCTTGAATGGACCAACCAAACAGTGGCAGCAATCAGTTTGGAATCTGGAAAAACTCTTTCCCGAAGTACCATGGACAGGCAATCTTGTATTAAGTATGGAAATATCAAGGACTCATCTATCTGTTTGCCTGGCACTGCACTTATGAGTATGTAAAATATCTCCTAGTGGATGGGGACCAAAAGTTTATCATCCTTGATTCTGTTATGAGAAATGCTGATATTGTAATCAAAATGGATAGAAGACTAAGATATTGGAGCAGCGCAAACCTCACATTCCTGAAATTAATGTTTCGTTATGTTTCTTTTGCACTTTGGTGCTTTCATCTGTTATACGTGGCATTCTTTTTTAAGATTGTGAGAGGAATTTGTCATCACCTTAGAGATGAAAGGGGTATTCGACAAGCATAAGTCCTCGATGTCTTGGAAGGCTACAAGTTATGTGCATGACACACTGTCTCTCGTGCTATTTCCCTTTGCTTATCAATCATGGAATGCCACCAAGAAGGAATTTGGAATTTCTATGATGATTGTGGAGAAAATACAGAATAATCAGCATTGATCAGGAGTTTCAATTGAAAATATAATGTGTGGTAAGATACTATGAGAACGTGTATGCACACATGTATGTGTACATATAAAGGTTGAAGGATTTTTACATAACTATAAACAATTCACTATGCCGCAATTTCAATGTTTAAAGTCATGAAGGACTGTGGTGAGGCTGTTGCATGGGCTGGATACTAGTCTTGGAAGTTGGATGCTTCCAGTGGTCGCAATTCCTCTAAATAATACGGCAGAACTTTTCAAATAACTCTTGGGTACTTTTTGCATACAGATAAATGTTGCCTGCTTTTGCAGGACTGGGGAGTCCCTTGCACTGTGTTGAGAGATTGTTTGTGAGGAGCACCGAATATTAATATTGGCAATCCAACTGTGACTTGTTTGGCTGGTACTCCACTGTTCCATTCCCCATCCTCTTTGACTCTTTTCCAGAAAATGGAGGCAACCTGACAAGCATATAGCTAAGAACTCTACCTCCTCCTCTGAGTGACTCTGCCTCCCCTTATCTCTAGCATCCTTCTCATGTTTGCTTTCTCTTCTGACTTCATGACTGTTCTGCAATTCGGTGTTCTTTTTCCTCTGGGCCTGTGTGAAACTTCACATCTCTCTCCAAGGAAATCCCTTCACCTTCGGGGTCAAGCATCTCTGTCTCAGTTAAGGCAGAGTTGCAAGTTTTCTTGCAAAGTTCTTTGAAAAGATCTTCTTTTTGAAGCTCAAAGAAATCCATGGGTCTATCTCTTCCCCTCTCCAATTCTCCACTTTCTAATGAATCATCGTCCTCTCCCTCATTTATTCCTTCTGGGATCCTAGGAAGCCAACCAGTAAACGACAACCCTCCACCCTAATGACCACGATCCGGAAACCCTTGTGCCGCGAAGGAAGATACACTGTCCTGCATGGGCAATTGCCTACCACTATCTTCATGTTCTTTGTTATCATCCTTCTTGATCTGTTCGACTTGCTCTTCTCCCTTGGTGTCTTTGATTGACAGAGTTCTCAGATTATCCAGCTGACTAATTTCTCCTTGGGGAGGTAACGTGTCCTCAAACTCTTCTTCACTTGAGTCACAGATAACGTCATTTTGCTTCAGATCTTCGATATTGAAGAATTGGATCTCTTCATCCCAGCTATTCAAAGGGGTTAGTTTCTTGGTTCGCAAAGGAGAGGAGCGAGTATCAGCTGCTACCTCTGATCTGTAATGGCTGTTTTCCTCTCTGATTTCTCCCTTCTTCTGCCACCCATCTTTAGGTTTCTCTGTTTTGGAATGTTTTGTCTGTTGGAGTTCAGGAAGTCTCATCAATTTTGATGCTATTTGCTTCAACTTTTCAATATAATCATCTATATTTTCCGCATGTTGTTTTGACTTCTTGTATGAAATTCTCCTCTCTTCTATCGATTGTTTTGGCTAAATGGAGAACTTTATTGAAAAATTGACCCATCTTAACATTTGGTTCAACTGCCTTGTTTCTCTCTCTGACCAGTAAGCTTGTCAGCCTTTCTGCTGTCTCGCTCACATGCCACTTTTTCTTCAGGTATCATTCTTCTCTCATCATTAGACAATCTCTTCTTGAAGTTTTGAAATAAAGGTTTCCATGTAAGAGATTTTAGCTTTGAGCACTGTTACTGATCTCTGGTCACCTGGGCCTCCAGGCTTCTGTGTGATAGGTGATCCTGGCAATCTCACTATTGATTTTGCTTTAGAACCATATTCAAAAGTTGCGATTGTCTTCTGAATATTCTTGGGCTTGGCACTCTCACAAAGAATCATGAGAAGTCTTGACTTTTCATCTTTGAAAGAGCCCTTTCAAACAAAGAGATTGAAGTCTATTAACCTAAGAGTGAGTAAGAAAATACTGTAACATGGCTTGCCAGAATTTCCTTTTACCTGAAGCAGCATTATGAGCTTGCTGGCCCTGTACGGTCCATACCTCCATTTGCTATGGACTCCACAACCCTCTAAGAGCTGCATTTCCTTGATTGATTTTCCATCTGTTTTCCATTTTGAATAAGAAACATGAGTAAGCCCATTTTATTTTGTTAATCGAATTACAATTTGTTTGAACCAGAATTAGAAAGTAAAACTCGACGTGCATTTTATTCTGTGCACCTTGGGCATGGCCTGCCTGTTCTATGTTGTCTGAACCAGCCATGTCCACTAATGTTAACCGTCCTCCGACTTGAGGCACATCGACTATTATCTGTTCTGTATGAAATTTCATCAAGGATGGGTGATTTGAAGCAGAATGAGAGAGATTTGAAGCAGCTTCAGAGAGAGATGTTTTATGAAATTTCAGAAAGTAAACATGATTCAAAGCAGTTTGAGAGAGAGACTGTTTTATATGAACCTTCAGAATGTCTGCGAGAAAGCACCTTGAGAGAGAGAGAGAGACAGAGAGAGAGGAAGGGAATGATTTTACCATGCAGTGGCTCCTAGAGCTCCTTGCATTACAATTTGTACTTCTAGTGCTACGTTTTTTCTCAACTTTCTCAATCTTTTCCACAACTCTTTAAGCATCGCTCCCATGAATCGAGCAAGCATTCGCGACTTTTGTCATTCTAGCCTGCAACCTCACCTTCAAACGAGTCATATTGAAGAAAGAACAGGACAACCATATTTAACATGATATGCAAATTCAAACTTCTTTTTTACAATCCACATAATTTGTATTATACACATTTCTTTTGGGGATTATGCAGAAATTATGCGAGCCATGTATGTAAACCAGATTATATGATATTTCTTTGTTGAGATTCTTTGAAGGGACTGAAAGCTTCTTGGAATTTGGTTTTTCTCAGGGAATATCTCAAGATAAGTGTTCAATAAGAAAGAATAAACTAAACCACCGGTTTCTGGCAACAAAAATGAGTAACTTCAGAAACCAGATAAAAAAAAACAATGGGATTTCTTGTTGGTAAATATTTGTTCACGAAATCTTTTAAACTATATGATAATCTATATTGACATTTCAAGCATAAAATCATCTTTCGAAATAATTAGCAGGGGAAAATAAGATACAAGTTGAAAATATGTCAAACCACTTCAAAAATTAATGATGGTTAATTGAACTAATTACCAATATAGAAGTTATATTTAAATTTTATTTCACTAGGGCGTCTCCTCAATGACTTTACTAAAAAAGGAAAAAGTTTATATAAGTGTGAGCACCTCAAAAATTTCACTAGAAGTTGTTTTAATGCCTAAATATCTTCAAATTGATCATCTCAACCTCAAGATGCATGGACCTGAGAAAAAAGGAGATTTCAAGTTTTGGAAATAGGGCATTTTGTAAAGCAGTTTTGGACCATTAAATTTCAATATTAAGTATTCATAGATCTGTTCCGTCTATATTATTTTTTAAGCTTTAAAGTTTATAATTAGAGATGAAAATATATTTAAAAGCTATCACAATGATTTTCAGCATTGAAACCACATTTCTTGACACTATTTGAAAGTATGTTTTACTTTGATTGTTTAGAGGCTCGGCTCTATACAAACCACACCCTACTAACGAATATATAAATTGCAAATTGCCTCAGCAGGGGAGGGTATTTTGGGATTTGAAGCACTTAAGTTTCTTGAGCTAAATGATTTAGTTACCCTTGCATGTTGTCCATTACCAATCTAAAACATACTTTTTCATAAGAAAGTCATGTTTTGGGTTCGGAACCAAGAACAAGCAGGGGTACTCATGTCTTTTGGCTTGGTTGGGTTATTTGGGCTTAATTGATAAAATGCCTCCTCTTATCATGGAATAAGATCTTTTGGTGGAAAATATTTATTCGGATTTGGAACTTGGGACGAGAAGATGTAATATTAAGGTCATTTGGCTTGAGTGACTTGAGTGCATCAAATTACCAAATCCCCTCCTTTACTTGGGGCACAAACCTAGAACAAAGGGAATTTGAGTTTTTTTAACAAAGTTCTTGAGAAGCTACTAAATATAAGGAATTTTAAAAACTAACCATAAAATTATTGGTTTTAACTAACTCAATCATTTTTTTTTTGGAGGTGATTTGACCATTTTGATAGTATTTCACAATAAAAGTATATGCCGAAAAACATCATGAAAATAAGAGAAATATTTGTATTTAAAATCATTTATTATTTTATCTAAGCCAAAAGATATTTAAAAAAACTCAATCTAAGAGTATTTTTAGTACCCAAAAAATTGGGGATATGACTTCTTGAACCTAGTAATTGATATTAAAAAAAGTACCGAAAAAAAAACATCCTGAGTTTAAACAGAGACCGTCTAATTTGCAAAAGGGTGAAATCCAAGTTTTGAAGAACTTAAAATTCAATTTTTTTTTCTTATTAGAAGTAATCATCTAATAACCATTAAGTAAATTTCTAATAATTATTAATGGATCGGGTTTCTATGCTACCAAGCCTGCATATGTAGAAATGTAAGCCTATTAATAAATTTATTTTTGAGTTGAAGAATAAAAATGGTTTTGAGTTCGTAAAGGCCTACATCTTGAAATTGACCAAATGGATGGTCTAGATTCATTGTTGGAAGGGACTCATCATTTTAACCATATGTATGATGCAAATGCAATATTTTATTTTGGAAATTGACTATTGGGATGAAGGGAGGGTATGTGCAATTTTCGGGGTGATATAAATGTTGCAAACATGATTGTTTAGAAGTGTGGTTGCATTATATTACTACACAACCGTTGCATGAAATCATTCCCCTATATATATATGGGTGCAGTTGGCATACAGACGCTTCTATAGGTGTAGAGGTACAGTGCCCTTCAAATTTTATCATGGTATATAATTTTGATGTAAAATGTTATTAGGATTATCTCAAAATCTATTTTTATAACTAATTACAAAATTTTAAATTTAAAAAATGGTTAAAATCAAGTTCATCTATAAACATATGAAAATCTTGAAAATGGATGATGTAGATAATATGTTGTAAAATGCACTATTTCTGAGACTTAAAATCGATTTATTTTTCATAGTCATACATCTCGAATTTGAGATGATCAATCAAAGGGTTTTTCAACATTAAAACTATCTTTTCCGATGGATTTTTGAGGGGTACCCGTAGTTCTACATTATAAGGTAGCATCGTTATATATATA